GGCCTGACCTCTATTCCTCCCTCTCCTTCTCTCCGATATCCTTCAGTTGTTACCTGTCTCCCCCTACCTAGGCCACGGACTGAGGTTTCCTAAACCATGCTGCTCTAGAAATGCTGGAAGAAACCTGTGGGTCTTCCAGCGGGTCTTAGCAGGGGTGACTGGCTCATCAGGACAGTTGGTGATGCCTGGAAACGTTTTTGGTTGGTCTAACTTGGGGCGCTGGTGCCACTGGCACCTGCCTGTGAGGCTGCTCGACACCCCAGGGTGCACAGGACACCCCGATCAACCAAAAGAAGGACTCACCCAGCCCCCACATCAGAAGTGCCCAAGTCAACCACCATAAGCTCCATGAAGACACATGATACCCGATTCTTCCCTATTTTGCCATCAGGCAAGACAGTGTGAACCATGTCTGGGACTAAGACACATAGGAAAACTGACCAGCAGGGCCTCCAGGTCAGAAGGAAAAGAGGAGGGAGGCCTAAAAGGGGAGTCCAACCCACATACCTTCAACAGGGACCACCACGTGGTAAGTCCCAGACGGTTCCCCGAAGCTGTCTTCTTCATGGGAGAAGGTTGCACTGGGTCCTGTCACCTCCAAGGTCAGCTTCTCAGGGGTGCCATGTGCCACTGAGACGTTGATCAATAGGTCTTGCCCAAGCTCCAAATGGTCAGAAGCCCAGGAGGCCTGTAGCCCTGACAACAGTTCCACGAGGTGGATCGCAATATCTCTGGAAGGTGCGGAGCTGGTGGTGTTGCCCATGGCTCGGATCTCCAGGAGGTGCAGCCCGGGCCCCATCCATTCCTGGGTTTCTCTGTCCAGGGTGAGGTTATAAGGTAGTGAAGTCCTCTGAGTGGTGGACTCAGCCAGGGTTACGTTACCCAATAGCACAGCATAAGTCACCTCTGCTCCTAAGTATGGCAAGAAAAATTCAAGAATGGGGGTAACATCCATGTAGCTGTTAACACTCTAGTAGTTTACACTCAAGCTCTGAAGCTGGATTCCGCATGTAAACATGGAGATGGACATATGAAGGGTCTTCAAGAAGTCCATGGGAAATGCATATTATGACAAAAAAAATGGATTACAATTTTTTCCACTGAAATAAACTCATACTTTAATTCCATCTTTCCATGAACTTTCTGAAGCTTCCTCATAAAGAAATATGTAAGGGGGACCAGCAGTTGGTGTAACGGCTATGTCACTGGACTCCCATGTAGTTGACCACGGACCTGGTGGCTTAAACTCACAGCGGGCATGTGTACATGCGTGCCCAAGATCCCAAGAGGAGAATGGAGGAGAAGGGATTGCAGTGTGGCCATCCCCCCTGGGGGGTGATTGCTTGCTGTCTCTCTCTCTTTCTCTCTCTGTCTCTCTCTGCCTTTCTGGCAAAGCTCACATGCCCTATAGCAAAAACCCCTCAAAAAATATGTAAGGGAACCCCTTCTCCCCAACAATAATGGATTAACTCTGAGTGTTGGGTTGATGGCTGATTTTTTTTCTTTTTGGGTGGGTCCTCTCTACATTTTTGCAATTTACTTACATGATGCATGTGCTAATCATGAACTTACAAGATGCGATATAAAATAAGAACATATTGTTCACAGGGATATCCTGGCTGGAAGGAAGGCTGAAAGGGAGGATCTCGTAAGGATGTGGGCTGAGAATTAGCCTCGAGTCTTATTTGGAGCAGGAGCAGGCGAAACCATTTCCTTCAGACTCCACCGGTTCTGCTGAGAACTCAGCCTGTTCGCGTGAAGATGTGAGGGCCTTTGCAGTTTGCAGAGGGTTGTCCTCGCTGGATGCTAAATGTTGTGGTTGATTCTAAATCTGCTTTAAACCCACGACCGAGGGTTCTTTCCACTAGAAACCAACCAGTGTGTTTTTTGTTAGGATGATAAAGACAATGATGGTGATGGAGACAGTGAGGACGAAAGCTCCACGACAGCAGGGACACTGCTCCTGGCGCAGAGTAGGACTCCATTGTATTTGCAGAGTGAGCACATAAAGGAAGGATTGTTCTAAATTTTCTGGGGGCACCTATCTGCCATTTTAGCCAACAAGCACCGGAGGACGGGGAGTCGAGAGCCCTGAGTTAAAGCCCCTCACGGTCCCTTCAGGTCCTGCCAAGGGAGGCCCGGTGGTGAGCGAGGGCAGCGGATCATGTCTCCTGTCCCGCAGCTCTGCACTGCTCCGTTTACACCAGGCCTCCATCCAGAGCTCAGACTGGACTGTGCTGCCCTGGGAGAGGATGCATCTTAAAGGGGCTCTATTAAGAAATAACTGACACAGGGTGGGCACCAATCGATTAAAATGGATTTTCTGATGAATCAGAATGAACGCTGTGACCAATCAGAATGAACGCTGTGACCAATCAGAATGGATGCTGTGACCAACCAGAATGAACTCTGACCAATCAGAATGAATGCTGTGACCAATCAGAATGGATGTTGTGACCAATCAGAAATGTCGCTATAAGCAATCAGACAGAAGCCATGACCCATCAGAATGGATATCTTGACCATTCAAAATAGACATGAAGACCAATCAGAGTGGCCTGTGTGACCAATCAGAAAAGACTGTGACCAAGCAGCAGGGCCCAGCCGTAACAGCGGCTGTGGGGGGGGCTGCACCAGTGTGTGCAGCTGCATGTCGGTCCTGACCGAGGCCCACACGATTGTGCCAAGCTCGCCGAGGCTGGCTGCACTGAGACAGCCACAGGCCGGCCACCCCTCGTCCTGTTCACATCCTCCCCGCCAGGCATGGCTCAGGAGTTTCATCTCTGTGATGAGACAATGGATGCAAACATGGGCCTTTGCAAGACTGGATGAGCACTCTCCAGCTTACTAGCCTTATGACTTTGGGCAATTTTAAAACCTTCCTGTGCCTCCACTTTTCCCCGTAAAATGAAGACAATACTGACATACACTGGGCGGGCTAGTGTATGCACAGCCCTTAGAACAGTGCCTGGCCCATGCAGGTGCTACAGGGAAGGATAATGCAGCTGAAACACTGGCTCAATACGTGACCGCCATTGTTAATTAGTACAGTTGGCATTAAATGGATAGACCTGGAGGAAATCAGCGATTTTACCGTTGCCTTCACCTGCCCATTCTCCAGACTCACCTCCACGGAGCTCCACCTGAATCCACAGAGGGTCCCCGAAGACTGCCTGGCAGAGGGGGCTGGCTCCTGAGCTGAACAGGCCGGAGCACCCGGTCACACTGAGCTCCGCCCTCTTGTCTCGCAGTGTCACTTGCTTCTGAGCTGTCACGTGCCACTCGCTGGTCGTGCACTCGGCAAACACGGTGAACTCCCCGGGAGATGTGAACTGGTGGGTCACGTTGCTGGACAAACTGCAGGCCACAGTCAGAAACATCACCCATGTTGGGGACGCACAGACACATACACACGTATACATGTACCTCAGACCCCTGCTCCGCAGAGACATGATGAAGAGAAACACGGGACATGACCGAGCCCGGCTCTGGGAGTTAGCAGAGGCCCTTATGACCCTTATAACGACTCGCCAAACTTTAACTCATGAATTTGGGGGGATACCTTCAAACCATAGCATATCTGAAAACTAAGGGGGAGCTTGGAGACTCTGGAAGGTCTGGGGTATCGGTCCTGCTCATCTAGTAAGACAGAACAGAGATTGCTCCAGGCCCAGGATAGACTTCAAAATGTATGTATCAGAGTTACCTTCTGTCAGGTTGGGGAGGTAATTCTGTCACCGGGAGGACGCCAGGCCCAGCGTTCTCAGGCCCCAGGGCTGAACACTGCGCTGTCTCCACCCTGAGCCTGAGAGCCAGAGCTTCCGTGCCAGACAGTCCTGGTTGTGTCACTGCCCTGCTGCTCCCCAGGTGTGTGACCTGGGCAACACTACTGTACCTCTCTGAGCCTCAATCACTTTGTCTATAAAAACAAGATGATAGCCGAGCACAGTGCTGTGCAGTGGAAAGGGTGTGAGCCACACACATAATTTAAAAATTTTCTAATATCTACACTGAAAGAGGTAAAAAGAAACAGGTAGAATCCTTTTTTGAGAGGGGGAGAGATTTTCACTGTAGGGCGCGTGCGCTCGCCAGACAGACAGAGAGAGACATAGAGACAGAAAGCGAGAAATCATCCCCCAGGGGGTATGGTCACGCCGCAATCCCTTCTCCTCCATTCTCCTCTCGGGATCTTGGGCACGCACGCACACGCGCCCGGCATGAGTTTTAAGCCACCGGGTCTGGGACGCGACCTGCCGTCGACTACGTGGGAGTCCAGCGACACAGCCATTATGCTAACTGCTGGTTCCCAGGTAGAATACTTTTAATAATTTATTTCCTTTAGCCCAATATATCTAAAATGCTATTATTTCAACATGTAATGAATATAAAAAAGCATTAGTACAGTATCCTACATTCTCATTTTGTGGAGGGGGACTAAGCCTTTGGGGTTCCACATGAACATATGGACTCAGACCATATCTCAGTTAAGACTTGCCACAGTTCACGGCCAACGGGTGGTGTGGTGCTTGAGGTGCTGGACACCTACATGGCTGACCAGGGTTCCAGTCCTGGGCCCGGCAGCTTGCTTTCTCACTTTCCCTCTTTCCCCTCTTTCTTCTCTCTCTGTCTCTGTGGTGAATGCAGATCCCTATAGCAAATTAAATAATAATAATAATAAATATTTTTTTAAAAAGACTTGCCGCATTTCAAGGGCTTAGTGGCTCACGTGGCTAGCAGCGGCCATTGTGGCCAGAATAGTTATAGCTCACAGAGTTGTGAAGATGAAATGAAATTAGGCATGTATGTACTTTGCTGGGCTATTTTTAATATTACTGCTGTTATGATCCTCACTGACAAAAATGCCCCCCACCCCAAGATGAGCATCTTCTTCACTCCATTCCCACCACCTTAGAGAACAGCCCCGCCACGCTAAGATACTGTGCAGGGCCACCCGAAAGGACCGAGCCCTTACTCATAACTTCCTGTGTCACCTTTAATGAGAAAACCTGTGTGCTGGGACGTGGGTAAAAGTTGCGGCAATGGCCCCTCACCTGTACGCGAGCCCTGGTAGTGTGGTTCTGTGATTTAAAGGCAGAACCGATTCATCTACCTCTTGAATCTGGGCCTGGCTGTGGAGCTTGCTTTGGCCAATGGGATACTGGAAAGTCCACACTAGTAGATATTTGAAAATGCTTGCACATCAGTCTGGACTCTCACTCATAGGTAGGCGCCTTTCTGCCACCACTTGAAGGAGCCGAGCCTAGCCTTTCAGTCGATGAGTAGTGTATGGCCAAGCTGATGGCCAGCAGGCCACTGGACACATGAGTAAGGGAGGCCTTCTGACACTACCCTTCCGCAGCAGAGTTGGCCCAGAGGCAAAAGGCCAACCAGTTCCTCAAAGAACCATGAGAAATAATAACTATCGTTTTAAGCCACTTTGTTTTGGGGATGGTTTGTTATGCAGCAAAAACTGACTGATACAATCTCACCCAAACTGGTGCAAACTCTTACCTGGGGGGGTAATAGGGATCGAGAGTGTGGCCATCTCCCATACTAAGTACACAGGACAGGTTTCCAACGTAGGGAGACAGGAGCCATGTCAGGGAGATGGTGACGTTGTCAGAGATGAAACTCTCCTCGGGCACCCTCAGCTGCAAGCCTGCCGATCAAAACGCAAGTACTGTGTACCCTCCAAAAGCAACACAGCACGCTTCTGCGTCAAGTCAGCTTCCTCACTTCTGTCCACCTGTTCACTATTACATAAGGGGCTTGTAAAGTTTCAAAAAGTGTATTTGAAAGTTTTTTAAAATTTTCTTTTTGTTTATAGGTAATTTATAACCAAGATACAGATTGGAAAATGTATGAAAGGAAAATAAAGCCTCCTCTTCACTCCCAGCTCCCAGCTCCCAGTTCTACTGCTCAGAGGCAGCCATTGTTGCTGCCAATATTCGGGGTCACCTTCCAGAGCTATCTGCACACACACACACACACACACACACACACGTGTACACACCTACACATACTTTATTTACACAGGTGGTACATGCTAGTCACTATTCAGCACCTTGCTTTTTTTTTCCCACTTAGTATAAACTGGGGCTTGAACTAGATAACTACAGTTAGGGCTGCCTTTTCTTTTTTTTTTTTTTTTTTTGTCAGAAGACATCTACACTCACTAAAGAGAGATAGAGAGACAGAAAGACACAGAGAGAAATAAATCCCCCCCAAGGGGCATGATCACATTGCAATCCCTTCTCCACTTCTCCACCCCGTTAGCATTTGGGGTTCACAACCCATGTTTTTCAAGCAGTCGGGGCTGAGATTTGAACTGCAGCCGACTATGTGGGAGGTCAGTCCCTTAATCACTCGGCTGCAGAGCTGGCCCTGACCAGTTCTTTTTTATTTTCTTTAAGAATTATGTATTTAATTGTATATGTATCTATATGTCGTGACCCAAAACCACACAGGAAGGTCCTGAGCTCACACCCCACGGTCTCCCTGTACGTGCTGGGAACACACATATGTGCCCATGATCCCGGCTGGTTGAGGCTGGGGGTGGGTCGCAGTGAGAAGACGTTGTTGGGGGTGCCTCTCTCTGTCCCTCTCTCATAGAAGAAATAATTAAAAAAAAAAAAAAGACAAAAGGCAAAACTCCTTTAAGAAAATCTACTTGGCTAAAGCCACTTAGTGCACATTCGATTTTATAAAACCTTGAACTTGGAAAGCTGGGATGCAGGATGGGGTGGAAGACGGGGTGGAGGAAGTAAAATGTCCTCGGTTTTGCACAGCCCTGGGCTAATCTGTGCAGTGCAATCTTCCAGCTTCTGAGAACAAGATAGGAAGCTGCACAAGACAAGAAGCAACACCAGGGCTTCCCTGAGCACTGCAGAAAGCCATCTTGGTCCTGACTCACAAACACCTGAGCAGGCTCAGGACACATCGGACACCAGGCCTGTTAACATTCAAAACGCACCTGCAATGCGATGACCCAGCATTGCTGTGGCCAGGGAGCGCTCTAAAAACAATCCTTGTACATGTCAAGTATATATGCACAAGTCAGGGGCCGGCAGGAGCACAGCAGTAAAGCTGGAGGCTCTGTGAGGTTAACCCACAGCGGAAGGTTCCAAGTCCGAGTCTGGAGACCTCACTGGACACGCCAGGCACGCATGTGCCTGTGATCTGGACTGGCTGGGCTAGGACCTTGCTGGGGTGCTCTCTCTCTCTTTCTGTTCCTGTCTCACTCATGAAAGAAATAAACTTTTATTTTATTTTAATTTTTTGAGAGGTTTATGCTATAGGGCATGTGTGCTTGTTGGAGAGACAGAGACGGAGAGACAGAAAGTGAGAAATCTCCCCTCAGGGGGCATGGCCATGCTACAATCCCTTCTCCATTCTCTCAGGATTTGGGGCATGCATGCAAACATGCCTGCCATGAGTTTTAAGTTACCAGTTCTGGGACTCAAACTGCGGTCAACTATGTGGGAGTCCAGGCATGTAACTACTCCATCCGCTGGTTCTAGAAATGAATAAACTTTAAAAAATTTTTTTAAAAATGAAGGAAAGCCAGGAAAAACTCAAATGTCCATTGATAGGGAACCAGTTAAACACATTTTGATGTAATCTTACAACGGAAAATGATGTGGTCATTTAAAAAATGAGGTAGTAGAGACCAGCAGATGGTGTAATGGTTATGTCACTGGACTCCCACATAGTCAACCACGGTTTGAGTCCCAGACCTGGTGACTTACAACTCACTGGGCACATGCGCGTGTGTGCACAAAATCCTGAGAGAAGAATGAAGGCGAAGGGACTGTGACGTGGCCATCTCCCTTAGGGGGTGATTTCTCACTCTCTGCCTTTCTCTGTCTCTCTCTGTCTCTCCAGTGAGTGAACACACCCTACTGCAAAAATTTCTCTTAAAAAGGAAATGAGATAGTGACTTGGAACAATGTCTAGGATATATTATTAAGGGAAAAAATGTATTTGCAGACTGATATGTTTAATATAATATTTTTATGAAATACGTATATCTACGGTTCTACGGGAACCAGCAGTTAGCGTAACGGCTATGTCGTTAGACTCCCAAGTAGTAGACCACAGTTCGCGTCCCGGACCCGGTGGCTTAGAACTCACGCCGGGCGCGTGTGCGTGCGTGCCCAAGATCCCGAGAGGAGAATGGAGGAGAAGGGATTGCGGCGTGGGGGGTGATTTCTCGCTTTCTGTCTCTATGTCTCTCTTTGTCTGTCTGGCGAGCGCACATGCCCTATAGCAAAGACCTCTCAAAAAAAAAAAAGTATATCTACGGTTCTACAAAATCCAATCTATGCAAAGATTTTAAAAGCAGTAAGAATTTATTCTAAATATTAACAGTGTTTCTTTTGGGAGAATAGAATTGCAGAACTAGGCCAGCAGGTGGCGTGGTGGTTGAGGCGCTGACTCCCACATAACCGACTGCAGTTGAGTCCTGGGCCTGAGGCTTACTTTCTCACTTTTCCTCTCTCTCTCTGGTGAGTGCACATGCTCTATAGCAAGTTAATAATAATAATAACAATAAAAATAATAAGACAAATAATTCTTTGAAAAAAATTGTAGAACTTAAGAGAAAAATTTTTCCTTAATTTATAAAACTAATAAATTGCAGTTAATACAGGTTATTTTTATGACTTTCAAGATTTGTTTTTTGTTTGTTTTTAAATTTGCTATAAAGCACACGCTCTCTTACTGGAGAGAGAAAGTGAGAAAGCATGGCTTGCGGGAGGTAGTCACACCACAACCCCTGCTTCCACTTCTCTCGGGATTTCAGGCACACACACACACACATGCACCCAGCGTGTGCCGAGCCACTGGGACTTGAACTGCACAGCAGTGATGTGGGATCCCGCCGCCTTAACCACTTCAACAACAGTTGGATCGAGGTCAGTATTTTTAAAAAATCCTGTGTATTCCCAAACAGCTACCCGTGACAGGGTGGTGGTTGAGCAGATGTGGGCTTGGGAGTGAGAGTGTTTGACTCTTTCCTATCAATCAACCTCGCTTTAGTCTGCTGGGTTTGTGGGGTTGCCATGGAAAAAAATTTGGTGGGGGGAGGTTTTCGCCATAGGGCATGTGCACTCACCAGAAAGAGAGAGACAGAGAGAGACAGAAAGTGAGAAATCACCCCCTAGGAGGGATGGCCATGCTGCAATCCCTTCTCCTCTATTCTCCTCTCAGGATCTTGGACATGCACGCACATGCGCCCGGCTTGAGTTTAAGCCACCGGGTCCGGGACCTGGAATCGTGGTCGACTGCGGGGCAGTCCAGCGACATAGCCATTGCGCCAACTGCTGATCCTGGGTTGCCATAAAATTTAACTTGAAGGATTCTGGAGTTAAAAAAGAAAAGTGTCTTAAAACTTCCCAGTTTAACAAGGTCTGCCACAAGCTTCAGTGGCAGTCAGGCAGGCGGTCGGGTCCAGGGGAGCTGTTTTGGGTGAAGGTACCTTGTCATGCACACAGAGTGGCCCAGTGATGCCTCTGCTCCTGGGGATGCCGGATCTGCCGTGAATACAAGACGGAGACTCAGACACCCAGACAGGCGGACTCACCTTCCCAGCACTGGTACTGCACCCGCAGGTAGCTGCCCTGAGTCGGGCAGAGGTCTCCAAAGTAGGTCCCATCTGCGGCCACCTGGCAGGCCTGCAGCCCCTGGCACTGGCCTAAGAAGCACCGCGTCCCAGTGGAAGCAGGAACAGAGCAAAACAAAGGGAAATACGTTCAGCACAGCTGCATGGAGACAAATCGCCTCCCACTCATTCATTCAGCCGGTGTCCACCCAACAGCTGACTGAAGACCAGGCCCTGGGCTAGTTCCCCAGAGTTCCGAGGAGAAGCCCTGCCCCCGAGTAGCTTGGGCTCTAGCATGTCAGTTCTCAAACTTTAGCATGTTCCCGCCCCTGGCCCAGAGCAGATTCCAGACGCCCTTGTGGTGTGAAGTGCAGCTGCAGAATCTGCTTTACTGATTTTCAGTTTTGCTCTAGGGCTTGTGCGCTCACCTGAGGTGGGGGGGGTGAGAATCATCGCCTGGGGGGTTGTCACTCTGTGATCCCTCCTCCTCCATTCTCCTCTCAGGATTTTAGGCGCGTGCACACACACGCACTCAGCGTGAGTTTAAGCCACCAGGTCTGGGACTCGAACTGTGGTCGACTACGTGGGACTCCAGCGACATAGCCATTACACTAACTGCTGGTCCCTCAAGCGCCAGCCATGCGGCAGCAATCTCTTCTCCATTCTCCTCTCAGAATCTTGGGCACACACGCACATGTGCCAGGCATGAGTTTAAGCCACTGGGTCCGGGACTCGAACCGTGGTCAACTACATGGGAGTCCAGCGACATAGCCATTACGCTAACTGCTGGTCCCAATCTGGTGTTTTTTAAGCCTCCAGACCTGGGACTCTAACATCGTAATCAGCCATGTTGGCATCCAGTGCCCTAACCACCACGTCACTGGCTGATGCACAATCTGCTTTTCTAACAAAATCCAGGTGATGCTGCCGCAGGTCCCACTGGCTGACCCTGGCCTTTCCTGTCCCCATGCCGGCTCCCTGGGGAGAGGGAGGGGAGGGCAGGGCAATGGGTCCAGGCATGCAGAGAGAGCAGGCGGATCCCAGGGAGAACTGGCTTCCTCAAGGCGGGAGGGGTCTGGGAGTATCCCCCACCCCTTCCTGAAGCTCCAGAGGGTCCACGCAGGGGGAAATGCCCCGGGGCACGTAGGAGGCTGGCCGAGGCCCCACTCCCAGCCTGGGCACCGACTGAGTGTCCTTACATAGCCCAGAAGCAGCAGCTGCTGCCAAGGACATCGCAGTCTGAATGGTGATCCCTGCAGGGAGGAGAGGGGGCTCCCCAGGGCCCTGAGGACTTTGCACCTCCTGGGAGGGTGTAGGGAGCCCTGCAGTCCCTGAAATTGAGTCCTTGCCACAGAGCAGTGCATCCCCAAGGCAGATTTAATCTGATTTAGAAAAACAAAGCCTTAGAGAACAGCGGGTGGCCTGGTGGTTAAGGCGCTGGACACTCCCACATGGCCGACCATGGTTAGAGTCCTGGACCTGGTGGTTTGTTTTCTCACTTTCTCTCTCTCTCTCTGTGCGTGCATGGTCAAATTAAAATACATGAATGAATAAATTTAAAAATAATTATTTAAAAAAAAAGAGATGCCATTGGTGCGCTCTCTTCAGCATTATTTCCGAGAGCGAAGATGAAGAAAGAGCAGGCGTCTCTCAGCAGGAGAGGCACACAGTCTCTCAGAGGGGAAAGGAATGGACTAGAACTCAGGTGTCAAGGTGGGTAATATAGCCCCAAGACAGGACGCTGAGCAAAACACAGTCACCGACAGAACAGAGGCACAGGTGCACTGCAGAGTGTCCATGCTGTGATGCGATGTGTGTGAGCATGGAGCTCGGCACACTCACACCGCACCCCGCACCCGCACCCCGCACCACACCCCACACCCCTCACTGCACCCTGCACCCTGCACACTGCACCCTGCACCCTGCATCCTACACTCCGCACCCCACACACTGCACACCACCCTGCACTGCACCCCACACACCGCACACTGCACCCCGCACCCTACACCCCACACACCACACCGCTCCGCCTTCAGGGATGCATCCACAGAAGCCAGCAGGGGAGACGTACACAGGGAATGTCAGGACAGGAACAGCAGGGGAGCTACTCAGGAACGTCAGCTGCATCTAGTATCTCTAGTAACTATGTCATGTGTCCCTTTTGTTCTTTTTTCCCCTTTGCTATACTGTACGAGGTGAGGAAGAGGGAAGGTGAGAAATCACCTCCCGGGTGGACAGCCACATCATAGTCCCTTCTGCTGTACTCTCCTCTCAGGATTTTGGGCACATACTCATGTGTGCTCCAAGCTGCTGGGTCTGGGACTTGAACACTTGTCCATGTGGTACCCAGCTGCCTTCACCACCATGCCACCATACTGGCCCTGTGCCCGTTTTTAAAGTGAGGAATCTTTTTCCTTCTTCCTTTCTTTTTTAGAGAGATAGTGCATGTGCTGGAGAGATAGGGACAGACAGCGAGAAATCACCCCCAGGGGGATGGCCACGCCACAATCCCTTCTCCTCCATTCTCCTCTTGGCGAGAGATCATCCCCAGGGGGATGGCCACGCCGCAATCCCTCCTCCATTCTCCTCTTGGGACCTTGGGCATGCACATGTGCCCAGAATGAGTTTGAAGTTGCTGGGTCCAGGCCTTGAACTGCGGTCACCTACATAGGAGTCCAGTGATGTAACCATTACACCCTCTGCTGGTCCTTAAATGAAGAATTCTTAAAGAAATGTGGCATAGTGTTAAAATGTGACCAAGTTGGGTAATGAGGTCTGAGTGTAACATTTTTATTCCTGCTTCTATGTAATATTTTTAAATTTTTAAAAGATAATTATAAAAAGAAAAAAAGAAAGTGATGTTTCCTGCACCCGACAGGGTGGGGGCAGGAGGTGGGGCAGTGGTAATGTCACTGGACCACATGGGAAGGTCCTGGGTTTGTGTCCGAGGGCCTCCCGAGCACAGGGGGCCCACGTGCCCAGGATCCAAGGTGGATGAAACGGAGGTTGACTGTAGCCTTGAGACCCTCTTTTGGAAGTGCCTCTCTCTGTCTCATGGAAGAAATAAATGAAAACCCTTAAAGTAAAGGGGAGGTGAGGAGCAAAATGTAAACACCCACCTGGGTGGATGGGTGGGCTTGCTCCCCTCAGTGGGCCCGTAGCCTCCCCGCCTCCCTGCTCAGTGCTGTGAGCAGAGACTGGCCAGTTTCCCCACCTTAGAGGCCCATGGTCCAATATGAAGATTGTTAGAACCTTCCAGAAGCTTTGCTGGCACCCAGGGGCCCTCTGCCACAGCCAGAGCTGCGGAGCCCGTGACCTTACCTGCCACCTCATCCCCGACGCTGGCCCAGCTGCAGTCCTCCCCCAGGTCTGAGGGGTGCTTGGCTTCCTGGGTGCAATAATGAGGCGTCTGGCGCCCGAAGATGGCGTCCCGGACCTGGATGACCTGCCCCGAGCCGCAGTGCATGGTGGCGTTGAGGCCCTCGCAGGCCAGGCTCCAGCCGAGCCCTGCAGGAGGGAAAGCAGCATTTGGGGGCTCTTGGTTACAGAGGTGAGCAGCTGATACTGAGAAGCAGGAGGGCCTGGGGTCAGGGCTGGGGGATGTGAAGGGCCCGCAGGAGCAGGCTCTGTGGAGTCCAGCGCGATCCTGGAGCCACATCCAGCCCAGCCACATGCGGCTGTGACCTTCGGCCAATTAGGTGGCTTCTCTGTGGCGTCTCGGTGGAGGGGGTACCGACCTGCACCATAGGGTCATCCGGGAGACTCGGTGGGTTTGGATGGGCAGGGCGAGGGCTGTGCTTCCGCCCACCTCCAGCGTTCTCCTCGAGCTTTATCGTAAAGCGATGCCCGATACGAACGACGCCACGTCGGAGTTTGTTGGATGAACGAGCGGCCTCACTGGGCCTCCTCCCAGCCCTAGGAGTGGCTCTGCTGTCCTCCCCACAAGGAGCACGCTGGGACCAGCGGAATCCACGTGCTGAGACCCCACTCGGCCGGACTCCACACCCGCCCGTTTTCAGTGAACCTCAGTGGGAAGGTGCACACTGCCAGCCTGGGGGATGCTGGACTCAAACCTGGGGCTGTCGAGGAGCACTGGGGCTAGAACCTGATGCTTCCTGTTGCTGATTGCCTGAACGGTCATTGCCTGCAGCGGCTGCTGCAGAGCTCTGGAGGGGGAAGTCCCCACGTGGCCTGCCAGCCGGTGAAGGTGCGGCCCCAGGGCCTGCCCTTCCTTCCCCAGCACCCAGCAGCTGCCTGCATTCCTTGACTCCCTCCCCGGCTCCATCTTTTGAGCCAGAGGTTAGACCCTGAGGCTCCCTGTTGCTGTTGCCCGAACGGTCATTGCCTGCAGCGGCTGCTGCAGAGCTCTGGAGGGGGAAGTCCCCACGTGGCCTGCCAGCCGGTGAAGGTGCGGCCCCAGGGCCTGCCCTTCCTTCCCCAGCACCCAGCAGCTGCCTGCATTCCTTGACTCCCTCCCCGGCTCCATCTTTTGAGCCAGATAAAGCATCTTCATAGCTTTCTCTCTGACCATGGGCAAACCTGAGTTCAGGTCTTGACTCTGTCACCTCCTAGCTGTGTGACCTCAGGCAAGGGAGTTGCCCTCTCTGAGCCTCAATTTCTTGTCTTTGAAATGGGCCCGAATTATGTAGCTACCTCTATGGTGATGAGTAAATGCACAGGAAGCCCTTGGCTCCGAACCCCAAACTGCTTCAGAGATACTAGCTCTTCAGAAGGAGGCCTCAGGATAGGGGATGGGGAGTGGGGGCTCCGAGGCCCAGGGTGAGGGGAGCAGATTCTGAGAGTCAGGCCTGAAGCTGGGTGAGGGGAGCTCAAGCAGGATGGCGGTGATAAGAAGAGATGGAAGTTGTATAAAGGTACCCCAGGAGCTTCCAGGTACCCAGTTACCCAGGCGGAGGGAGTTGAGCCTGCCAGGCATCTATTTCAAGGCAAGCAAAGGGGAAATGGAGCAAGGGCCCTTTAAGGGTCCGAAGCCAGAGTGGGACCTGGGATCCAGGAGTGTGCCAGGCCCAGGAAGCCCAGAAACTTCTTTTCAAGCCTGGCTGAGCAAATAGGATCAAAGGACCACGAGTCAGCCTGGGCCGCAGTGGCTCTGCTCCAAGACCAGGCCCTGCTACCAGGGCTCCCATAGTAGGGTCCCTGGTGTGGGCCAAACCTGCTCCTGTGGGGCTGTGCCAGTGCCCAGGAAGGAGCCCCTGGGGCTTGAACCAGGCATGGCTGAACAGGGTGCCAGAGCAGGGTGTGGGAAGCCAGGAGGGGGAGGGAAATGGGGGGAGCGAGGGCGCTCAGACCCAGCAGGTGGGAACAGGATCGGGGTGAGAGTGAGGCTGCAGCCTCCCAAGCCCTGAGTATCCCTCCTGCAAAGCCCTGGGGCTGAGGACACATGGGACGGGGGGCTTTCCCCTCCATGTGTGTGTGACACGGAAGGGCAGAGAGGAAGCAAGACGCCGAGAGAGAGAGAGAGAGAGAGAGAGAGAGAGAGAGAGAGATGGGACAGGACAAGGGGACAGAGAGAGGGAGGCGGAACAGAGACAGAGAGGTGGGACAAAGAGAGGAGGGACAGAGACAGAGAGGAGGGACAGAGACAGAGAGGCAGGACAGAGACAGAGAGGAGGGGCAGAGAGAGGAGGGACAGAGGCAGAGAGGATGTGCAGGCCCTGCAACAGGAGCAGCAACACAGACAGCAGGGGCACTGAACTGAGGAGGGGGACAGAGGAAATGGAGGCAGAGCTGGGAGCCACAGAAAGGTGGAGGGCCTGGAAGGCAGGGCCAGGGCGGGCGGAGAGCCCACGGGCTGCTCACCGAATTCGCAGATGAAGGCGAAGGCCTGAGCGCAGGGTCCGGCCGCCCACTCCGAGGAGGGGCCTCTCGCGATGTAGCCGCAGGTGCCAGGGGCAGGTGTGGCCTGGCCTTCCTCCCCGTTAACGGAGCC